CAATCCGCCTTTAGCAGTTGCCCAACATCACTACTTATCCCACACAATCCGCCTTTAGCAGTTGCCCAACATCACTACTTACCACACGCAACCTGCCTTTAGCAGTTGCCCAACATCACTACTTACCCCACACAATCCGCCTTTAGCGGTTGCCCAACATCACTACTCATCCCACACAATCCGCCTTTAGCGGTTGCCCAACATCACTGCTTATCCCACACAATCCGCCTTTAGCGGTTGCCCAACATCACTACTTACCACATGCAACCCGCCTTTAGCAGTTGCCCAATATCATTACTTACCCCACGCGACCAGCCTTTAGCGGTCGCCTGTCATTGCTAATTACCCCACACAATCCGCTTTTAGCGGCCACCCAACATCAATAATTACCCCATGTGAGTCGCCTTTATCGGTTGCCGTGGCGCATTAAGAGTATTAAGTGCCGCTAGGCAACAGCACACATGGCGTTATGTCAGAGAAACGGAGCTGACTGGTGGCTGACAAAATTCAGGGTGTGAGGGAAGGTGCTGGCTAGGAAGGTCAACTCAGCCGTCAGAACAGTCTAACCCCTGGTGATTTTGCGGACAACAGAGGGGGCGCAGTGGGAAACGGACTGCACTTGCTGCAGGTCAGACTGAGAACTGGCTGTTAGATAACGACCGAAATCTCCCAAAGTAACACGCCACCCTTCACACTTCATTCGCCCTCTTAGAACACCATGAAATGCTGGAGATCTTCATCCTTCCTCATCACCGTCGTGTCACCAGGCAGCAGCTCCCTTCTCCTGACACTTTCCTCTCTGCCTCGTCAGATTCCCCATAAAGCCTGCATTCCCATAGGGACTGCGAGTAGAGTCTCCAGCACACTTCAGTCCTGGAAGCAGCATCACACTGCACAGCCCCAGCAGAACCACAAGGTGGATGCTGCAGACAGGCCGCAGGTTATAATCTAAGGACCCCGGAGAGCACCTCATAATAAGTTATGTCTGGAAACGAACACACGGGGAGGGGGGTCTGAGAACGTGGGGGCTTGGTGGAGGTAATTTCCCTGCGTGGTGAGAGAGGAGCGCAGACACACGCGCAGAGGAGCACGCCACTGAGTGTTAGCGTCTGTCGGCTCATGGTGTTTATGCAGCTCTGTTCCTAGTCGCTCCTGGGACCTGCAATTATACCCACTCAAAACATCTTTCATGCATGATGTATCCCAGTGCGGGGTGGAAGGGGGGGGGGGCAGCATATGCAGGTACTGCTGTAGGTCCAGCTTCCCAAGGTCCTTGTGACTAAGCCAGGGTAGCGGATGGGGCCCCTCCCTGGGGGGGCAAAACGGGCCCTGAAATCCACAGTGCAGCATTTAGCTGCAGGAGCTCGGCGGCTCAGCAGGACACATGTAACTCTGACAGCTGGGGCAGCAGCTTTTGGATGAGCTCCACCCCAAACTTAACAGGTTTAAACTGCCCGGATCATCACCTGGCCACTGCAGAAAAGCCTGCTGAGATGCCCGCAGGTTCCTGGCTCTCCTCCAGGCCATGGCGCCACATGACATCTGGCAGAGCACGGTGCGGAGCAACGGCATGGAGCAGCAGCCGGCCCCCATGATGTAGACTCCCCACTATAGAGACCCCTGAGGTACAGACTCCCCCCACATAGACCTCCTGCCATGTAGACTCCCCACCAAGGAGACCCCTATGCTGCAGACCACCCTCACGTAGACCTCCCACCATGTAACCTACCTACCAAGGAGATCCCTATGCTGCAGACCTCCCCTCACATAGACCTCCCTCCATGTAGACTCCCCACAATGGAGACCCCTTTGGTACAGACCCTCCCTCACACAGACCTGCCGTCATGTAGACTCCCCACCATGGAGACCTCTATGGTGCAGTCTCCCCTCACAGAGACCTCCTACTATGTAGACTCCACACCATGCAGACCTTTATGATGCATATCTCCCCTCAAATAGACTTCCAGTTGTTTAGATCCCATCAACATGTAGACCCCCAGTTACACCGACAACCAACCATGTAGATCCCCCCCACTGCATAGACCTCCCAATAATATAAATCCCCACAGTGTAGAGACACACCGCATACCCCCATGAGCTGCATGTGGGTATTTGTTAAGAGGTTTTACTTCAGGGGTGGAGCAGATGCTATTGGTGACCCGGTCACTCCTCTTCCCATGGATTGGAGGAATGATGACAGCAGACAGAAGGAGAGGGCAGGGAGGGCCCTCTCTCAGCGACCTTGCAATCCCATCACTAATGAGGGAATTCACAGATTTCTTCTACAGGCACATAAATCACACGCCTGGTGTCAGCTAAGTGACCTGATCTCTGATCAGCCCCAGAGTGGATTACAATTGCATGGAAGCACACCTCACTTCAGCAAGAAATGGTGCTGCTCTGCCCCTGCTTGCGTGTCACAGCCCCAGTTAATTGTTGAGCAGCCATTATCTGCTCTGAGGGTACACTTCTATTATCCCCGGAGTCAAAAAAGTGAAAATAGCCCATTTTTGCAGTCAAGTGACAGACATAATGATTTATTTCCCAGCCGCTTGGAAGTTAATTAAGTACCTCTCTGCTTCCTAAGCACTCCGACGAAGAAACAGCATCCAGGCCGCTGATGTGAGCACATGGCAGCAGGTCTGCAAAAGTGAGAGTCAGTGCTAATGTGTCCCTCATCTTCCGCAGACAATCAGAGGCAGCCGTCATGATGCCAACAGTCATGGAGTAATCAGAGTCACATGACTCAAATGTTGCGATCAACTGAAATCCAGGTGACGGGAAATAAGGCCAATAGAGGGGATGCTCACAGCAGGAGCATCATGGGCAGCTGACAATGTCAGCCAGTGTTTTCAGGAGGCCGACAGCACCCCTGGCAGCAAGACTGTGGTCCCTGTGGTCCTGTAGTCACAAGGACCTTGGGAAGCTGGACCTACAGCAGTACTGTGGCCTGGCAGCAAGACTGTGGCCCCCGAAGCATGGCTGTCAGAGCTCGATGGCACAGAACAACAACGCAAGGCTTCATGGTGGCTTTAATTAAGCTGTGCCGGCTATGACGGGGACAGCGGGACATGGGCGCTGTGACTGATGCGGTCATTATGGTGGACATGCGCTTACCTCTCCCTCTGTGGACTGCAGGAGCAGCTCCTTCCGGCATGCCACCTTCAGGTCGCCCACGGTGGCGCTGACCTCCACCCCCTTTGGAGCCTCCATGGTCAGGGTTCGAGTCGGCGACTCCAGCCTGTGGAGGGTGTCAGCAGTAAGAATTGCAAGAGGCCGTCATGGTCGCATCATTCAGAGACGCTCCCAGGAAATACCCTCAGGCATGAGAAGATCAGCCCCAGGGAGTCATTTAGGGACTGATGGAAGGGCATACACAGGCGTGAGAATCCTGCTTCTTCACGTGGAGAGAAAGAGCTGACGTTTTGTTCATCTCAGAACCGGAGCATGTTTCTGCTTTGCCCGGGGAAATCCCACTGCCAGACCTTCTAACTTCCTCTAATTTTCATCCACTCGACAAGAAAGTTTAATGGGACTTTTTGAAATTTATTTACCAGTGGAGTCTGCTTGGACCCATACATCTTCTGTGAAGGGAACATCTGGCCTTTAGCTGTACTGAACGAAGTGTTCCATGCTGTAGTGTTTGTTTACTGGAACAAATACTTGAAGTATGCATCAGTTTGAGTTTCATTAACAATTTGCCAACTCAGAATTTACATACATTTACACGTGGCATAGTGACGAATGGCGAGGGCACCCCGAACACTCGTCATTAACGGGATCTGCTGGTGTCAGCAACAGCACAGTGCCATCTTTCAGCGGTGAAGGTCACGATTTGTGGGGATGCAGAGCCGCGATTCGGAGGGCCGGAGAGCAGAACCCAATGCAGCGTGGGGCCACTCGAGCGGAAAAAGAGAGTGAGCAGGAGCAATTTAAACACTGTCAGCCGAAGACTTTAAGCCCTGCTCCTCCGCTGGGACTTCCCAAGTATGTTGGTGGGACTCCACCTCCGCTCTCCCTGATCGCTTCTAGGGACGCATCCAAAACAACTGCTGCTCCACCGGCTGTAAAAACATTAACCCTGGAAAAACCAGGGGGGGCATAAGATGTCATATGCGAAGGTGGAGATCATCCCGTCGTTTAGTCATCCCTGAGGCAGTCATTTCTGACGCCATCATGGTCCCACCGCTAACAGCTCTATGCATCAGGACTAAGGCCAGTGGAGCAGCACAGGGGTCCTACCACTTCTGCACAAAATGTACAATAAGGTACAGAGTGAGGGTGGATGGTAGAGTGTAAAGGTGCAGGGTGGTGGGTTTCCCACAACGTAAGTAAAGTAGACCCATGGGCCCATGGAGGCGATTCTCAAACACTGACTCGTCCCATTGATAAATCACGGCACCAGTGGGGGAATTTCAGGACGCAGGCCCCAGCGGGAGCACGTGAAATACAGATGGCTGATCAGGCGAAAAAAAACGGCATCCATCTGCCTCGGCTGCCCCGGCCACGCAGGACCAAAATCCCTCTGTCAGCAGAGCCGTGCCGCAAGCCCAGGGAGCCCGGCTGGGAGGAGCCACACCATGTGCCCGGGGAACCCGGCTGGGAGGATCCACACCATGTGCTCGGGGAACCCGGCTGGGAGGATCCACACCATGCGCCCGGGGAACCCGGCTGGGAGGAGCCACACCATGCGCCCGGGGAACCCGGCTGGGAGGAGCCACACCATGCGCCCGGGGAACCCGGCTGGGAGGAGCCACACCATGTGCCCGGGGAACCCAGCTGGGAGGAGCCACACCATGCGCCCGGGGAACCTGGCTGGGAGGAGCTACACCATGTATCTGGGGAGCCCGGCTGGGAGGAGCCACACCATGCGCCCGGGGACCCCGGCTGGGAGGAGCCACACCATGTATCTGGGGAGCCCGGCTGGGAGGAGCCACACCATGCGCCCGGGGACCCCGGCTGTGAGGAGCCACACCATGTATCTGGGGAGCCCGGCTGGGAGGAGCCACACCATGCGCCCGGGGAACCTGGCTGGGAGGAGCTACACCATGTATCTGGGGAGCCCGGCTGGGAGGAGCCACACCATGCGCCCGGGGAACCCGGCTGGGAGGAGCCATGCTGCATTCCCAAAGAGCCCGGGTGGCAGACAGGCTCCCAACTGCATGGCTGGAACACCTCTGGCTTTAGGGCGATCTGGGTCCAGATCCGAGGGGCTACCTCTAGCTAAAGAGAGAGCACCAGTTGGGCAACGTAAAAAAAAATAGGGAAAGAGGAGGGAAGAATGAGGGGCAACAACCGTGTCAAGTAAGCAAGATCTGCGGCTGCTGCCCTCGAATAAGATGGCAGAGCTAGTGCTGGGGAATGCCAATCTGGTACAACAGTCTATAGTTTATAGGAGAGGCCAGCCCGAGCAGAGTAAGGGCAAGGTGTGTGGGAGACACTGGGCTGGTCCACACCCCGTTTTGCGGTCCCTGAGATTCTAAGATGGCCGTAAAGTGGTGTCATTTTCCATCCTTTCAGAACACTGATCACGAGAAGCTGTCTGTCCGCTGAATCTGACTGCTCTGTTCAGCAGCCGGGGTCCCGGCTCAGGCCCCTAGCCTGCGATTTGCCATTCCTGCCGCTGGTCACCTTGGATGACAGAGTGTTAAAGACAGGTACGATGATTAATAATAAGCACACAGCCATCCAGCAGGAGCGGAACCAATTTATCTTAGAAGACGTTGAGAAAAGGCCCCCCGGTCACCACTGCCACCAAGACTCACACCTAAAGATGGTAAATACCCTGTGCAGTTGACCCCCCCTTGGCCGCTATAATAACTCCTCTGCAATGGGAATATTAATCTGAGTTTCAGTGAGGCGCCATTTGAATTTTGTCTGTAAAACTATATCATATGTCATTAGCCTTTAATAGACTGATAGTGGGACATTACATGTCCCATTTAGCTTCAGCAGGATGGAGGCCAAGAGCCTGCAGGCCAGAGGACAGATGAGCCCAGATGGTTATGGACACCCTGTGTGTCGGGTGTGAGGCCCATGCACTGCGCAGGAGCAGCGGGGAGCCAGTCAGGTCGGCGTCTGCTGCACTCCCGCCTTCACGCTGAACTGGCCCCAAGAAGCTGAACACAAGCAGCAGCTCCCGCTTGGGGGGGGGGGGGGGGCTCCCATCCTCTGGATCTGCAGTCCCACGCAGACGTGACTATGAATGGTCCGACTCTCCCTGGTTGCTTATATGGGCGCAGTTCCAAACAGTGGGCCACTGTGCAAAATCTCTGCGACGCCCAGAGGATGGGAGACACAACTGTGACCATCCACTGAGACAAAAGCAGAGCCGGAGTGAAGACAAACCGAACCGCGAGCGCTGGTGACAGGGGCCTCCTGTTGGCATCCCCGGCACACAAACCAGGCTGACAGGATCAAAGTGGCACAAGCTCAAATGCCAACCTCACTGGCTACTGGAAACTGGTCAATAAAATTCAGCCATGGTGACCCTGACAGCCAATGGCAGCCATTGACGTATCGAGCCAGAAGCCACGTTTTCCTGAATGAGATGCCACATAAACATCAGTATCATTCCTAAGTTATGTTCAAAAGGTACACTGAGCCGGACGAGTGACCCAAAAACGTCTGCCTGTGGCTGCAGAGTGGACTGCAGATGAGTGACGGCTCCCTCACAGCCAGGCATCTCTGAATCGGGATTCTCTGCTAAGTTGTGAAGCTCTGCCCTCCCATTAAAAGGGCTGTATCATGCAGCGGTACCATAGGCAGTACGGTTACTGGTGTCAGCGGCAGGCGGCCCTTACTTCAGGTCTTGGAAGGGCTCGGCTCGGACGTGGGGCGTCTCCACCGAGTGCTGGAAGACTGCCCCCTCCGTGCCTGAAATGACAAGCGGGGCCCTGGTTACTCTATGGTGGGGCTTCAGCAGTAGGTGTGTGCTGAAGGTCACGCTCCACTGCAGAACCACGACTGATACCGGCGAGCGATGAGCCCACGCGTCAGCATCACCTCTACCAGGTCTGACACGCAACAGTGGGGAGTGGAATGCAGCCCTCGCTCCTCTTTGACTGAGAAGCTGACTGACACACACCTGGATTTGGAACATCTCAGTATTTTCTTCTGAAATTCCCAAAAGGGAAACTACAGCTCTTAATGTCTCAACAAAAAGGCCTAAAGGATGCAGATGGTAAGTAGTGATTATGAAGTGTGTCTGGATCCTGGGGGGGGGGGCAGAGTGTGGGGATGGCCGGCCGTCACCTGTGACCCGCAGCTTCTCCGCCCCGACGGTGACCTCCTCCTCGTCAGCTGAGAACAGCACGCGTTTCCCATCACTGCTTCGTACCTCGAACCGCTGGCACTGAGCATCCACCATCTCCGAGCCTATGGAGGGAGGGGGGTGTATTATTTATCTCACTTCAAGTCTATACAGACCAAAAAGATAAAGAGCAAAAGGGCATTAAGGTTGGGGGGGGGGGCGTACCATTTAATATGATATCAAACTTTAAGGTGTGGAGACAGCTGATGAGAGCGGACAGGAAATGAAAACACCATAATCATCACACATGCTCAAGCTGATGACAGATAAGAGGTAGGACCATCGCCTCTCAAGCCCCCCCCGGGACTGATCAGCATTAGCCTTTAACGTGTGTGACTGATTAATGGCTCCTCCTTGTGATGGGGAAAAATAACTCCTGACCTTGCACAGGTCTAGACACTCTTGCCCGTGAATTGATGGGATCTTGCGGTTCTCCATCGCTCCCATCTCACTGGGAATCGCTGCCGCTTTGCAGATCGCTTTGATCTCACTGGGAATCACTCCCACCTGCGGATTGCGCTGGGGTCACTGGGAATCACTGCCATTTTGCGAACTGCTCCGGGCTCGTTGGAATTCATTGCATTCGCTGCGTCTTGCTTAGACGGTTCAGCTTCTGCATACTTTCTCTAGGACTGAAAGCTGAAGCCTTCAGCTCCACACAGTTTTGAAAATGTTGGCCAGGTTACCAACTTCAGGACCAGTTCCGTGGACGCATGCCAGGCTGGGCCTCGTCCTCATAGGCTGGACTGGGCCACAATATAGTATATATGGCAAATGGTGAAAAGAGCCTGAATGTCCCTGAATGGCATCGGAAGGTCTGTCTGCCTCTCTGGATATGTGCCGCTACATTTGGTCTCGTCATGAATCCGTCAGCCGCCTGTCCCACAAGGACATGCTCACTTTGTCCCAGCGCGGGCCGGTGCGTCTCCCCCGTAAGACGTCATTGAGAGCTAATTATCAAAGCAGTTTCTAAGATGAATGAACACATGAGGATGAATCACCTGCTTGACTATTAATTGATTCTGCTTCCCTTTTTTTACACTCTCCAGCAGAGCATCAGCACGACTTCAAGATCATTTTAAAGTCACCAGAAATGTGACTGCGATGCGTCATGGTGCCTGCTCCTCTGAGCCTACATTAACACACCTCTGAGGCACTTACTGCCGGGCCAGGGTACCAGCAGAGTAGTGAGGGGGGGAGGAGGGGTGGACAGAGGGTTTAGACCCCAATCGTGACCCCGCCCCCATCCTAAAAAATACCAGGAAAAAGGCAGCAACTTTAGATCCAAAGCTAGAAAAACATAGATGCTAATTTGAGCAGCTGCAGCAACTGGCTGGATGGCACAGAATCATATAGTCCAGGATATAGATGTCCAGAGTGACTGTTAAGGACAGAAAACAAAAGCCATTTTTCTCTGACATGCTTGCATTGAGAAATGGAACAGAAAGGCAGGGGGCCAGGTAGCCTCTCTCATAAGCAATATCAGCGAGAGCGAAGGTCTTTGTGGCAGAGTGACCCTGAGCCCTGCTGCGTACCTGACACGTGAACCCCCCCAGGTACTGGTTAAGTAGGCCCTGACCTCCCTCGCGCACCGCGTGACCGAATGCTTGTCGGGTCAGCGATTTACTTTGAGCGCCTGTGACTGCAAAGGTGAACTCTTCTTGGTTTATGGTGTACAGGTCAGCCCTCACACACTCGCTGCGCTGCACAGACGGGGAAGCTGTCAGGCCGCCACCCCCCCCCCGTATTCTAGGCCGGGGCCTCTGAGCCACCCCCTCGCTTTGAGACGGATGAATGTCTGGGGTTTATCGGCTTCCTTCAGGAAGCACACTGGTGCCACCAAGGTGTCCAAGCCGTATCTGAATGGATCTCCTGCTCTGGGAGCAGGTGCCGTTAAGGACTTTGATCACACAGCAATGATGATTCAATCCCACAACCTTCAGGACATGGACACAGGTTCCTAACACGTTGAGCAACCCC